CCTCCCCGGTCCTACTGTCCGACACAACCTACAGTTAACCAACTCACTGCCACTGGGGTACAGTACTGGTGGGCACAGGTCTGACACTGTGTAATATTGGGGTACAATACTGGTGGACACAGGTCTGTCACTGTATAACACTGGGGTACAGTACCGGTGGGGACAGGTCTGTCACTGTATAACACTGGGGTACAGTACCGGTGGGGACAGGTCTGTCACTGTATAACACTGGGGATACAGTACCGGTGGGGACGGGTCTGTCGCTGTATAACACTGGGGTACAGTGCCGGTGGGGATGGGTGTGTCACTGTATAACACTGGGGTACAGTACCGGTGGGGATAGGTCTGTCACTGTATAACACTGGGGTACAGTACCGGTGGGGACAGGCCTGTCACTGTATAACACTGGGGCACAGTACCGGTGGGGATAGGTCTGTCACTGTATAACACTGGGGTACAGTACCGGTGGGGACGGGTCTGTCACTGTGTAACACTGGGGTACAGTACTGGTCGGGACAGGTCTGTCGCTGTATAACACTGGGGTACAGTACCGGTGGGGACAGGCCTGTCGCTGTATAACACTGGGGTACAGTACCGGTGGGGACAGGTCTGTCGCTGTATAACACTGGGGTACAGTACCGGTGGGGATAGGTCTGTCACTGTATAACACTGGGGTACAGTACCGGTGGGGATAGGTCTGTCACTGTATAACACTGGGGTACAGTGCCGGTGGGGACGGGTCTGTCACTGTATAACACTGGGGTACAGTACCGGTGGGGAGAGGTCTGTCACTTTATAACATTGGGGTATAGTGCTGGTGAGTACAGGTCTGTCACTGTATGAGGCTGGGGGTACAGTGCTAGTGTGGATAGTGCTAACACATCCCTCTTTACCTGGTACAGAACCCACTGTGGAAACACAAGCCTACAATTGCACGTGTAGACAGTGAAAGCACAGGAGGGGGTTTGCCCTGTTGGTGGTGCTGTCTTTCAGGTGTGACCCAGATACCCAGCCTCTCAGCTGTTCAGAAAAGATGCCTCAGCCTCTTCTCAGGAACAGCAGGACTCCAAAAGACCGGGTCATCATTTACCCCGCAATGAAGACTGATGAGAGCAGACAGACTTTAGTGCTGGTCGTGGGGAGCTTGCTATGCGAGAAATGTCTTCCAGCATCTGCAGTTCTTACTATCTCCGAGTGAGAGATGGTTGCTGGATCCCACTAGCCATAAGTTACCCTCCGCCAAATACACTGCGTCAGGCTGCAAACTGTACAGGGTTACCCTGTGGCTGTGGTAAGTCCTGTCCAAGTGTCAACATTTACAGTGGGGCGAAACCGTTTTGTTTTTCAGATGCCCTTTACGACTTTTGCAAATTCTGGATTCTGAAGTAGCCCCCTTCCCAGTTGCCCTCAACTCACTGCTGAACAAGCACAGCAAACATTTGATGGCTCGGTGTTAGATTTCAGAATAAACCTGCTCCATCCTGTTCCGAAAGACGGAGGAGAGTTCATTTCTGGGACGCTGCTATCATTCCGTCTGCTTCCACTATGTGGCAGCAAACTGACCTCGCCCCTCCACTCCCCAAACTCCCATACTATCCCAACAGGGAATCAATGTCCAGGGACCGGGCAAGTGAAACAGTCCAGGGGTTAGTGTAAGGAAGGTGTGTGCCCCGTTTGTACCGGAGTTGGGGGGTGGGCTGTAGTGTCAGGGAGCGTGCTTTTATGTATTTTGCAGACGTCTTTTCTGAAGGTGGCCCAACTCAGATGTTGTGTTCTTGAGAGAAGTTCGAGAGGATATCCTTCTGGGAATCGAACCCAGCCCGCTGATGTTCCGTTTCCTCACTTTCTCTTCTGATGGTACCTTTGGTACAGTTCTGAAGGTGCCAGGAGCCCCCCAAACACATACACCCAGTCTCTGCCCATGTGCTCAAGACTCGCAGCAATCACCATTTGCCCATCACCCCACTGGTTTGGTAAAACAAACCAGGGCAGGACTTATACTGTTAATGGTCTCGGGCCCTGGGGAGTGTTGACCAACAGGAGAGACCAATGGGTGCACGCACCTTGTTGCCTGAAAGTGGCATCCCATGTAGACAGGATGGTGAAGAAGGCACAAAAACAGAAGTTGCTGGAAAAGCTCAGCAGGCCTGGCACCAGCTGTGAAGAGAAACTGAGGAAGGGACACCGGACCCGAAACATTAACTCTGATTTGTTTTCTTCACAGGTGCTGCCAGACCTGCTGAGCTTTTCCAGCAACTTCTGTTTTTGTTCCTGATTTACAGCATCTGGGGGAAGATACAGAAACTTAAATACATGTGCCAACAGATTCAAGAACAGCTTCTTCCCTGCTGTTATTAGACTCCTGAATGGACCTCTCAAACTTCAAATCGAATGCTGGTCTCGCTCATTGTGCATCTTCTCTTCAGCCATAACTTTGTATTCCTCGCTCTGTTCTATTACCCTAATACACTTTGTATGATATGCTTTGACTGTATTGCACGCAAACAAAACTTTTCACTGTGCTTAGGTACATGTGATGATAATAAATTAAACAAAGTTGCGGCTGTACAGGACTTTGATGAGGCCACTTTTGGAGTGCTGCATTCAGTTCTGGCTGCCCTACTATGGGAAGGATGTGAGCATTATCATTCACAAAAACAGAGTTGCTGGAAAAGCTCAGCAGGTCTGGCAGCATCTGTGAAGAAAATATCAGAGTTCCTCAGAAGGGTCACTGGACCCGAAACGTTAGCTCTGATTTTTTTCTTCACAGACGCTGCCAGACCTGCTGAGCTTTTCCAGCAACTTCTGTTTTTTGTTCCTGATTTATAGCATCTGCAGTTCTTTTGGTTTTTATTGAGCATTATCATTCCTTTGTTGCTTTGCAGATAAGTCAGGTCCGCAGTCAGATGCGTTATTTAATGAACAGTTTTGCGTCATTGCGAGTTAGCAATGTACAACTGTGTGCCATTTAACCATGCTCTGCAAATTATTGTATTCTTGTCAACTAAAATTACTGTACTTAAAAAATAAAACAGAGAATTGTGAAAATTCTTATTCTGAAACAGTGTCCCCTGTTTTTAGTTTACACCTACACAAAGACCAAGCTCCTTAAGATCTTAAATGTTTCACAAAGATCACCCTTATTCTTCTGACTTCCAATGGGGCCATGCCTGATCTGATCAATTTTTCTTCAAAACGTTCATCTATTACCCAGGAGCGAACCTTCTCTGAACTGCTCCAAAGTAGGGTAATGGTCTTAATTCCAAAGAGGTATCTAAGTAGGAATGAAAACGGAAGTTGCTGGAAAAGCTCAGCAGGTCTGGCAGCATCTGTGAAGAAAAGAAAATCAGAGTTAACATTTCGGGTCCTCAATTTTTCTTCACAGATGCTGCCAGACCTACTGAACTTTTCCAGCAACTTCTGTTTTTTTTCCTGATTTACTGCATCCACAGGTCTTTCGGTTTTTATTTTCTTAAGTAGGGACATCTTGCTAAAACTATACATGGGTGTGAGTCATACCAGTTCTGGAACACTATGAAGAATTCTGAGCCCCTGATTAAAGCTAAGATAGACTGGCATTGGAGGCAGAGAGAGTAGGAACTGCAGATGCTGGAGAATCTGAGATAACAAGGTGTAGAGCTGGATGAACACAGCAGGCCAAGCAGCATCAGAGGAGCAGGAAAGCTGACGTTTCGAGTCTGGACCCTTCTTCAGGCATTGGAGGCAGTCTGGAGAAGATTCATTAGGCTGATAATAGGGATGGAGAATGTTTCTTATGAGGAGAGGTTGAGTAGGCCAGGGCTGTACTTATTGGAGTTTAGAAGAATGAGAGGTGACCTTATTGAAACATACAAGATTCTTATGGGAACCTGACAGGGGAGATGGAGAGAGGTTGTTTCCCATTGTGGGAGAGTCTAGGACTGGAAGGATATTGTCTCAGATTAAGGGGTCACCCAGAGCTGAGGAAGAATTTCTTCTCTCAGAAGGGAGTGAATCTATGGAATTCTTCACCGCAGAGGGCTATCGAGGTTGGGTCATTGAGTATATTCATGGTTGAGCGAGATGCAAAATGAGGAAGGGAATTGAGGGGAAAAGGCAGGAAACTGGAGCTGAAGATGATCAGATCAGCCACAATCTCATTAGTCGATGGGCCGAATGGGCGGCTTCTACTCCTGCATCTGCATGGTGATCAGTAAGCCAATCTTACCACCACTCCCCCAGCCATTTTCCAAAGGGGAAGCCTGGGAAGATTCACTTAAAAATTAATTGCTGAGACATTAGCGTCATGGTGGCTCAGTGGTTAGCACTGCTGCCTCACGGCACCAGGGACCTGGGTTCGATTCCACCCTCGGGCGACTGTATCTGTGTGGAGTTTGCATGTTCTCCCTGTGTCTGTGTGGGTTTCCTCCGGGTGCTCCGGTTTCCTCCCACAGTCCAAAGATGTGTAGATTAGGCGGATTGGCCACGCTAAATTGTCCCATAGTGTCCAGGCTGAGTGCATTAGCCATGGGGAATGCTGGGTTATAGAATCGGGGAATGGGTCTTCAGAGAGTCGGTGTACACTTGATGGGCTGAAGGACCTGCTTCCATACTGTAGGGAAGTTACTCCATAACCTATAATCTCTACCATCTAGAAGGACAAGGGTAGCCGATACATGGGAACACCGCCCCCTGCAAATTCCCCTCTGAGTCACTCCCCATGCTGACTTGGAAATATATCAGCTGTCCCTTCAGTGTTGCTGGGTCAAAATCCTGGAACTGCCTCCCTAAAGACACTGTGTCTGGTGTGTGTGTGTGTGTGTTATGTGACTCCAGAGTTTTACTTGGCCAATGTAGGGTCTAGGCCCGAAACGCCAGCCTTCCTGCTCCTCTGATGCTGCTTGGCCTGCTGTGT